CAAGAGTTCCCGGAGTAAGTTTTAGGCTTTAAAAAACAACTTTTCCTAGTTCGAGTCACTTTTCTGGAATATTAGGCTTAAGAGCGATTGAAAACAGTCTCTAAAATGGAGAATGGCATGCAGAAAGAATCATTTGATTTCACCCAAACATTAATTTACTACATCACTATTTAACAAAATCAAAGATAGTTCGCCTGGAATCCTTGAAGGATATTTTTAGCACAATCGGGCCTTTACGTTGTAGAGATCTGACCTGTCGAATGATTTCTCACTTTGTAGTGTGTTTGTGTTTTGATCTGGCATGTTTTATGGATCTGGGGAGGGATCCCCTCCTTTCCAAAAAAGAAATCCTGTGTTCTGGAGTCTTTGAATCCTGCCTCAATAGCCGTTTCTCAAATATAGAGAGAATGAGGCAAATGCTGACCAAAGTGTGGCGTTGTTTACGCAAATATAAGCCCAGGGAACACACAGGGAATCATCAGACATCCAGATTTCGGGAGGGATTCGAATGCAGAGATGTGGAAAAGTGCAGCTGCTGCTGTGTCTCTCTCTCTTTAGAGATCTCTCTCTCTCCCTGACTATTCGTCTACTTCGCTATTGCTGTCTCTTTCTCGCAGAGGCCTCTCTCAATCCCCTCTTTTTTTGATCGTTTTGGGCGACCATTTTGGTATTTGCCATCACGCCCCGCTTCCTTTCGTCCTTCATTCATCCATCGGTTTTATTGCACCTTTTGTTCTCTCTTCCCTCTCTCTGTCTCTCTCTCTCTCTATCCGTCTCTTTCTCTGCCTCGTAATCGAAGCAATTTGCACGCTTTACGCATATCGCAAGATTAAACTTATCCCTGGAATCCTCGTCGAATCCCTGATCCCCTGACATGATCCCTTGATGCTTGCTTCGTTCTCCCTGTGTTCCTGCCACAAAATGAGGCAACATTGTGCCGAGGCATAAAACGATATTTGGATTAAACATTTAATTGAGGACTCAGCAGCAGCAGCCAGAAAGAAACCGGTGTGACCATACGATCTCCTCCGCCTCTCCTGCCTGCTTTGCAGGGGTTGCTGCTGGCGAGGATTACCAGCCCAGCGAATGGTTGAATCGTTGAATGCCACATGCCTTGCCCCGCGGCTTCATTAACATATCAATGTCAGTGGCAGGCTCTCCGGCTCCCGCTCCCGCTCCTGCTCCTGCTCGTGGAATCCTTGAATCCCAATCTGATTTCTGGGTTCCGGATTCCGGGAGCTGATTTCTGATTTCGATTTCTGGCTTCTTGTGGAAATTCGCTTAAATTTTTAACAAGACAAATACCCAAAGCACATGCCAACTGCCACACCCCCCCAGTCCCCCCCTCCCCACTCTTTCTCTCTGCTGCTCTTCTAGGAAGTAATCAGAATGAGAAGGCAACAGAGCAAGAGAGAGAGAGAGAGAGCAAAGGAAAAGGAAACTTTTCTAATTTTGCACAACTGTGGAAAATGTGGCCGCAGGGCGTGGAATGAAATGCGAAGGCGAAAGAAAATCGTGCGGCTCGAAGGGAAAATCGAAATAAAATCGACAAAAAAAGCATCATAAAAAGTTGAAGAGCTCCTCCGCTCCTTGCCCACTTTACCCCCCAACGTCCCCGACTCCTCTTGTGGTTCAAATGGAAAAGTAGAAAAACCTTTTATTCCACAATGTTTGCTTAGTCCTTTTGCCAATTGAACTTTTTCCCGAATCGAAGAGCCAATCGAAGAGAGAATCGAAGGAGGAAAAGGCAAGAGAAAGTAGCGAGAGAGAGGCGGGGGCGAAGAAGGGCAGGAGGAGGCGGACTGGAGTGGAACACAATACTTAAACGCCAAAGTTAATTTAATTTTTTATTTAAAATTCAATCTACAAACTAAAACAAAAAGTGCACACAAAAAACCCCACCTCCACCCCCACCACGATAAAAAGTGTGCAAAAAATCACTGCCGAAAGAGAGAAGGATAGAGAGAGAAAGGGAGAGAGAGTGAGCAAAAGTTGCACATAAAAAGCGCAATGAAAAAATGTCTAGAATAAGGGGAAGTGTGAGAGCCGTACAGGATTCTGTAGGAGGAACTGTAGGACATGGGATGTGGTATGTCGGCGAGAAAGAAAGAACAGGACCAAAGTGGAGCACGAGTTTGGAGCTTAAGCGAGGAGTCGCGCATCCTCCGCTTCCCCAATCCTGCAGGAATAGATATTGTAACCAAATGTGTATAATTTTTCTAAACTCTTTCTAATTTCTTCAGACTTTCTTGTCGTCTTGTTAAGGTTTTATCACTTCGGATCTCAAGGGGAATTCGTTGTATAGAATTCATTTAAGTGGAATATAGCATAGCATTGTTCTGGAAATAAATTGGTTATATCGAAAAAATGCATTGTATTGAAGTCCGTAGTAGAGAAGTCCGACTGTACATATATCGTGGGATTATACATATTTCTGCCTGATATATCAATGAACGGTAATCTAATAGTGATTACCTATTATTCTAGAAATAGGAAGGTGGTAGAACGGTTTCAACTTGAGATTTAGTGTTATTTCTCATGTTATATCTTTCCCTATACAGAATGTACATAGCCACATAAAATTTGATACAAAATTCGAACTATATATGATGGATATTCCGTATTCCATAATCCTAATCAACATCGTCTAACTTTATCCCCATAGCAATGGTGGCTTTAGCTTCCAGGCTTTCCTTGCCTTTCCTTTCCTGCTTTTTCCTGTCTGTCGCTTTTCCCGTCGGGAGTTCCCTGTGTGTGTGGTGCCGTCACATGTAAGAAGTTCAGTGCAAAGCCAAATAGTGGACCCACCAAGGGGGCGGAGGAGGATGAGGTCTTGTGGTTGGGGACACACAATGTCCAATGTCCTGGCTCTGCTTTCGGGTCCTACTGCTGCTGCTGCTACTGCTGCTGCTGTGTCCTGGTTCTGTTCTGGTTGCTGATTAATTATTCAATAATTTCTAAAAGCATTTGCCAACATTGGACGTCATTGAGGCCATCATCCTTTCATCCTTTTACGTGGGAGTCATGTGGGGCTCTCTCGCTGTGGCCCCTGTAATCAGTAGGATACACACACACACCCACTTACACTCACACACACACACACTCGGAGATCCCCGCACAATCACTCTTTCCTTGATGCTCTTTCCTCTTCCAATCTGTGACATTTGTTGTTGTGGGAGAGGCAGGATGAGGACTATACGCTTCATTCGCTTTACACAATCCATGTGTGTGTGTGTGTGTGAGAGTTGCCACCACACCACCAGAGTTGTTGCATTTATCATTAGCCGAAAGCTTAGCTTTTGTTTTGCCTGCATTTTCGAAAAGCCGTAGACGACCGGCGACAACGACCCTCGGGGCCCCATTGGGGATTTTGCACTTTTGTGCCCTTTGTTTGATGTGGAAACTTTAGATTAAAATATTTTCATATGCAAAAACACACACACACACTCGCCAGAGAGTCACCAGGGAGAGAGAGAGAGAGTCGCCGAAAAGATGATTAGAGAAAGGAGGAGTAGTCTCCTATAGCTCCTACATTTCTTTATCTTTCCTTTTGCTCCATCCATCCTTCGTTCCTTTGCTTAATATATGTCTGTATACCGCTCTCTGTTCCACTCTCCCTAACGCCCTCCTTCGCCCGTTCCATTACATAAACGAGCACTCACGAAGGGCTCTGTTTCAGAGCTTCGGTTTTCCGCCGCTCGAGGATTGAGCGCATAATGATGTTTATGTGTTGCCAAAAACATAAAAGCATTAATTTAGTCATTATCTTCTTAAGATATGGCGCTATATCAGAGGGAGAGCAGCAGAGCAGAGCAAAAGCAGCAGCGACAGCGGCAGAGCAGAAGCAGAAGCAGAAGCAGAGGCGTTGGCTCCCCTCCCTCCTCTCTCCACTGCCGGCCTGCTTTCGTCGGCACTCCTCCCCATGCTCCTTCGTTCTCCTGATTTTGCACATTATCAAAGGCAACATTTTTATGCATCAAGCAGGCAGGCACCCCCTCCCCCTCCGCCTCGACGGGATGAGCAAACGGGATGGACACTATATGGCCATCACTCTCTTTCGCACTCTCTCACTCTGACACTCGCATGACACTCGTGGGGGAGGGAGGCCGCGGGGTCTGTCAGTGATGACTTTATCTGTATAAATAACTGTCAGAAGCAAAAAGCAAGAAAAAAACGACGAGAAAAGGAAGGAAAGGAAGCAGCGACGCCGCCCCATGGCAGAGTACCAGAAGAGTGCAAGGGGGGGCGGGGGGTGGGGATGCATGCGACAGCTGAGAATTATCTCCTCGCCAAGCGCCATCTTTTGCCCCCCTCTGCCAAGGCAACGGTAAACGGGTAAATGAGGAAAGAGAGCAGCAAGCAGCAGCACAAACAACCACCCACCACACGCAAAGAGAGAGCGAGAGAGTGAGCGCGCTTACCGCTCTCTCTCTCTCATTTCAATATGGTTTTTCGAGGAGGCGTGGCCTGTGCTCTGCTCTCATTGGCTGTGGGCCACGAAAATGTCTGGCTGCCTGAGAGACGACCGACTGCACGAGTGTGTGTGTGTGTGTGTGCGTGTGCGTGTTCTGCTGCGGCTTGATGTCGCGCGCAACGCCGCAGACGACGACTCATAACGGTTTCGCACTTCGAGCGGACAAGAAGGGTTTACAGAGCAGCATCCGCATTCGCATTCGCATCGGCAGCAAGCAGAATCCGCATTTGCGTGTCGCGTGTGTTTCCCTCCATCCAGTGAGAAAGATATTGTATCTTGTATCTTGTATACCCCCAAGTGATTGTTTTGTGCAACCCGTACCGGAAAATCCATCAAAATTCTGTCCTCACTGTGGACCCCAGCGTCGGCTTCGCAATTGGCGGGCGGCGCAACCAACGGCGGAGGCAGTGGCAGCAGTACAGGCAGCGGCAGCACCACCGATCACCACCATACCGTGGCCTCCTCGAAGGCCAAGTTCAAGATCACCGTCGTGTCCACGCCCAGTCCCTCGCCGCCGCCCACTCCCCCCTCGCTCGGCGGGATGGTGGAGACGAATTCCCCGCCGGCGGGCTACACGCTCAAGCGGTGCCCCAGCGATCTATCGGATGTACAGCAGCCCCCGCGACAGATTTCCCGCTCGCCGGGGAATGTCAGCAGCAATGCCGCCTATCACCTGACCACCGCCATGCTCCTCAACTCCCAGCAGTGCGGATACCTCGGCCAGCGGCTCCAATCGGTGCTCCAGCAGCAGCAGCAGCAGCACCAGCAGCACCAGCAGCACCAGCAGCACCATCAATCGCAGTCCCAGTCGCAGACGCCATCCTCGGACGATGGCAGCCAATCGGGCGTGACCATCCTGGACGAGGAGCGGACGCGGGGCCTGCCAGTGGGGGCCACAGCGGCGTCTGCGGCTGCCGCCTCCCTTTTCACCATCGACAGCATCTTGGGCTCCCGCAGCGCCAACGCCCAGCACCAGCAGGGCAGCACCTCCTCCCACTCCCAATCAAGCAGCGGCGGCTGCCACAACAACAACAACAATAATCACAGCAGCAGTGGCAGCAACGGTCTGGGCTTGGGCCTCAAGCGGAGCACCGAATCCCCCGCCTCCCCCAACTCCAACTCCAGTTCGAGCGCCGCCGCCAGCCCGATACGACCGCAGCGGGTTCCTGCCATGTTGCAGCATCCTGGCCTGCATTTGGGGCACCTGGCGGCGGCGGCAGCAAGCGGTTTTGCGGCCTCGCCATCGGATTTTCTAGGTAAGCTTCCCCTTCGAACCCCCGCCACCCCCCCGCACTCACGACTATTGGCATTGATGCGGCTTCCGCTTGAGCCGGGAAAACACCTTAAGGGAAAAGCTGTGCCACTCTGCCACTCAAAGAACTCTCCTTTTCGGGAGAAGGGAGGGAAGGGGCATCTCGAGCGAATCCCGGAATCCTGGATTCCTGAATGGCATTATTCATAATTAGGCAATGATCCGGAAAAGATGATTCCGCATTCCGTGTTGCGAGAGGATTTGCATTGGGAGATTGTTGCCACAAGGATGGGGCAGGGGGTGTGGCGTGGGAGCTGCGACTTATGTCGATTCGAGCGGCAAGCGAGATCCTTCTTTGTATGCAGGAGTCTCGCTCTTTGCGTTTTAAATCATTCAAAGGACTCTTGCCCCGCAGGACATGAATATTAAAAATGGGGGGAAACGGTTTTTTGGTTTTGGGAACCGGAAACGGAAGCCACACACCACAGACACACACAACATGGCCGTCGTTTCGTTATGCGCATTTTTAAGGATTGAAGGATGCTCCAAGTCCTCGCTCTCGCCCTCTGATTGTTTTTTTGCCCTGGAAAATAATGAATTTTCTTTCTGCGTTTTTTGCAGTGGCATACCCCAATTTCTATCCAAATTACATGCATGCCGCAGCCGTTGCCCACGTTGCCGCCGCCCAGATGCAGGCGCATGTCAGTGGGCATGGCGCTGCGGCCGCTGCTGCCGCCGCTGGTCTCGCCGGCCATGGCCATCACCCGCACCACCACTCGCATCACTCGCACCCGCACCATTTGGGCCACCACCACGGACAGCATCACCTGGGCCACCTGGGGCACGGGCCGCCGCCGAAGCGCAAGCGGCGGCATCGCACCATCTTCACGGAGGAGCAGTTGGAGCAGCTGGAGGCCACGTTCGACAAGACCCACTATCCGGACGTGGTGCTCCGCGAGCAGCTGGCCCTCAAAGTGGATCTCAAAGAGGAGCGTGTGGAGGTGAGTCTTTAAAGAACATTTGTGCATCTCAATAAATCGCAGGGAATAGAGGTAGGGACTCTGTAAAGTGCGAAAAGAATAGGGTAGAGATATTTTTTTTTTTACCAAATATTCGGGATTTCCAAAGCTTGGGCATTTCTTAAGCAAGCCTCATTTTGCACATCGAAATCACTTCGTTTTAAAGGAAAGTCTCAAGTTTTTGTGGTTTCTAAGGAAAGAAGGTTTTCAGATCTAGAAATTACTTTCTTTAGGGAGTGTTGATAGCGTCAATACCATGTGAAAGAATACATTCCTGTCGGAATAAATCTGGTATCATCACATCTTTACTATTTAAATCCAAGAAAAGGTTTTATGGAATAAAACTTTACATAAATGGAGGAAGAACTCTTCATATTTTAATCTGGATATTTTATGCTTCATGAGTGTTATATGCGTGTTTCTTAGGGATTCGTGGTAGTCACCCCCGTATTAATCTCTTCAAAACTTAAGATTAAAGATGCTTTCAGCTTCTTCTATAACTTCTTTGAATCATTCTTCAATAGTTTTTTTAGAGACTATGCTCTTTGGGATATGCTCTCTCTCCTGTGTTGTTAATTTCTCTCGTTCTTTTTTGTGCTTTTGAAGTCACTCTTTTCTCAGTCACTATGCTTTTTCCCCTGCCTTTTTTCAACCAAACTTTTTCTCTATTGAACATTTTAATGAAATTATTCCTCAAACGTGTCTCTCCTCATTGCCCTTCAGATCTCTGCGCCTCTTGTGCAATTCTCAATGTTTCCTCTCCTCCAACAATGTATCCTCTCCCATTCATTCTCATTGCATCTCTCGCTGGGTCTCTAATTTCACGCTCATTTTAATTCCCCGCGTGAAACCAATTGAGTGCTGCCCCTGCCACCATCCATCTGAATCGCAATCTCGCTCTTTTTCTCTGTGGATATCTCTATCTCTCTGGTATATATGTATCTGTATCTCCCTTGCATATTTCAGCGCTTCCCCTGTGAAATATTTCGTGTTTATTTAGTTGTCAGGAGGCGGCGGCGGGGCAACATTTGCGGGGCTTCCTTCCTTCCACACACAGCACACAGAGCCAAAACCAAAACAATGCCAAGGAATCACTTAATTTGGGTAATGGGACACACAATACACACACACACACAGACAGCGAGAGAGAGAGAGAGGAGGTCCTTGCAACAGGATAAGCGTTGGATTGTTGGACGCAGCCCAGCGCCCTCTTCTGGGGTCGGTCGTGTTTTCTGAGGTTATGCCGTATCATTGCCAATGTAAATACCGCGATTCTGTCGACCTCTCTCCGAGGAAAAGCCTACCCCCGGGGGCATGCTTAGGCGGAACATCCCTTCGATTCGGCGACGGAGGCAAATCTCTGCTGCATGTTGCTGCGGCAATTTGTGTGATTCAAAGTCCATTAGTGTCGAGGGTCGAGACGGAGCGGGAAGGGGGGGAAACCTGACAAAACAGCAAACAAACAAACGACGAAAAGTTGACAATTTAATTTGTAAGTAATTTTATGGGACCAGATAAACGCTAGAGAGACCCAGAGACCCCTCCCCCGCGTGACATACGACTTTCCCGCAGTTAATTTTCGCTTTCGTGTGGAAAAGTGTCTTTGATAAGGATTTATGCCGCTTCTCCCCCCCTCAAACTCTGTTTGTTACCCTGGAAATATGTTTGGTTGCCGGTCAAAATGTGTTTAATCTACGGAAAGGGTAGCCCCTTCCTCCTTCCTGCTTCCTGCCTCTCTCTCTCCCTCACCTGCGGAGCAAGGAGGGCATACAAGTGCGACAGTTGTTGACATTTGCGTGTGCCGTGCCCCAGAAGGGGGGAGAGGGGTGCGGTGCCTGTTTAGACTTGGGCTTAAGACAACTTAGGCAACATTTACTAGCCATTCTCCCAGCCAAAGGATAATGGATAATGAGCACGAAAGTATATCCTGAGGACAAATTGACACTACGCCCGCGCCGCCTGCCACTAGGCGACAAATTTAACCCGCGGCGTCGGACAGAGATTCCTAAGCGGATTAGGACGCAGGTTGTTGCTGGGATGATGGGAGATATCTAGAGGTTGGGGGGCAGGGCACAGGGCATAGATGCATGTGATTTCTCTCAACTAATTGAAATCGCCAGAAGCACGAAACTTGCTGCCTCATGGGGCAGACGCAGTAGGGGCTAGCGCTGGGACAGGGGCAGGAGGAGGAGACTAATTAACATACAACACACAACAAAAGAGAGACTTAAAATCTGTCTCTGACAGAAGAGAAGAGAAGCCAACGAAATCCATAACCAAATCTTGTGCTCAGTCATCGCCATCGCATCGTCATTGACTTAAGCAGCATAATCAACTTCAGAGATACAGCCCCATAGCTCCACAGTGCCACAACTCCACCTCTCGCTGCCTTCTCCAGCTCCTGCCCCATCTGGTGGCCAGCTACTGTTTAGCATATTTGTATGCCAAGTGTTGCCACTCGAAAAAGAGTCTGTCCCCTGCCGCTGCCCCTGCCTTTATTCGTTGTACGCCCATGCTTTTGGGGACCGTCTCTCTAAGACCCCAAGCGAACCATCATAAGTGGCAATAATTATTGAAAATCTTCGCCAAGACAAACAGCAGCAATAACAAAGAGAAAACAGACAAAAAACTATGCCTACCTTATAAGGGAAGGGGTTTATGACACGGATGATCAATTAGGGGCTGGGATTTGACAATTGAAAGGAGAAATATTTCATATGATAATTCGGTTTATGTTCATATGCAATCTTTTAGCTTGGGAACTCTTCATACAAAGTTTCATGAACATATCTGATCTGTGAGCATAGTTCCGATACACATACTTATTTTAGCACATGTTATCTTCTGTTAATATATCTTTACCCAAATCCAAGTTCCCATAGACCTCTGCCTCCTCTCTAGAGAGCCTTGACAACGCAACGGGTTCCCATCGAACCCTAAAACCATCATCATCATCATCATCTCGGTAGCGGCATTTAAATGATCTGCTTATTTTGACTTCATCATTTACAATTATTATTTTTATTTAGACACTCGAGATCGGAGGAGAGACCCTACGGTCGGGTAAAACAGTAGCTCCCTACCACACACACTCACGGACACGTTCGCTCTCTCTCGCTCACTCATTAACATACTCGCAGTCTTTGATTCACTCACACTCTTTTGCACATTCACGAGAGCAAACAAACGAGATTCCAATGCGACCAGCAAACAAAAGCAATTTCCAGACAAGCTGCTGTCTCGCTTTGCCTTTAGCCGCGGTCGCGCTGCTATCTCACTCTCATTTAAATTGTGCTCTCTGCATAGATACAAGGTATGTTAATGCAAGGTGAGGTATGGCCAATGATCGCACACATGCTGCTTACTTAATTCCTCATTTAATATACTTTCTTCTTATCGAAGGCACCGTTATTCAAAACAGAAATTATTACATCCCTCCAGGTCTTGCTTTACCTTCTGCTTAACATACCTTGGGCTCATCTCTCCCACTCTCCCACTCTCTCACTCCCTTTTTTCTTATCGTCGTCGTCGTCGTCGTCTGTGGTGCGTGCAAGTCAAATACGCCTAATCCCGCAGCTCAAGTGATTGAGGTGATTCCGTTTTTCTGATCGGCTACTGCTTATTCTCCTCCTCCACCCCCTCTGCCACTTCTACTTCTTCGTCCTCTGAGTCTCTGCCGAATCAACAGCCACTGAGAGAGGGAGGGATGGAGGGAGAGCGAGACAGAGGCCGGCTTGAAGCGCTGGGCAAATATTTGTCTTTGTTCGTCGCCAAGAAATTAGTAATCATCTCCAGCTTGGCATAATTTGTGCTGCTGCTGCTCTCTCAGGTCGGTCGGTCCCGCTCTCTGTCCACTCTCTGTCCTCTCTATAAATATTGATGTTTCCCTCTCCCTCTCTCTGGCTCATAAATGGGAAAGGGTCACCTCACACAAGTGCTGCGAAGAAGAAGATGCAGCAGGAGAAGAATGTGCCCACTCATCGCCCGCCCTCCTACTCCTTTCCTTTTCTTCATTGTGAACTCTGATCTTTTCTTTTTGTGGCCAGGACTGTAAAAGGTCGTGTCACCACTTCTCTATCTTTCTCTTAGACCCTTTTTAAGGATGAGATGATCTGTTTGCCGCTTTTGATGTTGCACAATTGAGTGAGTGGCGGCCGCTTCCAGTTTCCTGGTTCCAGGGCCACCTGCGTGGCAATTAACTAAAATATTATTATTGTCTCTCTCTCTTTAGACATAATAATAAACACGCCCCCGCAATGAAACGGCAATGAGCTGGAATCAGCAGATTTTCGTTAATTTTTCCGAGAGTGAATTTCTCGTTGTGACGAGTAGTCCGCCCCAGGGCACAGCGGGGGATACATCCATCAGGCAGGAAACATGTGTTAAGGGGTCAGAAACCACCACCCACTCATCCACTCAAACGCTGCCCACTTTTCAGCCCGCAAATCTCACACCCCTCCCGCTCTGATTGTGCGGCTGTTGTTGTTATAATTTTTCATAATTTTCCATTATTCAAACACTTGAGGATGTGCGGATGAGGATGAGGAGGGTTCCTCAACTCTCAGGGGGATACTTTTTCGCCCGCAAAGTGCGTTTCTTGCCCCTGGCAGGGGGTGGTGTGTGGTGCCCCTGTTTGCTTTACAGTTTTGACTGTCGAACCGTATAACCTTCGACAAATATTATCACTGGAAGAGAAAATTGCCCTCGAAGCTGCATAAATTTACGCCAAAAGAAAAACCTCACTTAGAGTGATGAAGGGAGGAGGATAATCAGGGGGTGAGGTCGCAGGAACAGGTGCACCAAGATGGCCTCCAACCCACTAAGCTCTTAAAAGGTCGAGCATTTGGAGCGTGTCAGCGATTAGAAGCAGGAAAATCTTACGAATTATTTACATTTTCTATTATTTTTTTGTTTTTATGTTGAAAATTCATTAATTTTGATGGTTTTTCTTCTGACGTTTGGACCTGAGAGGTTTTTAAAAGTATTTATGAGAGATTTTGTAAGAGTTTTGATTGCAAGAGACAGGAAATAAATACACTCACCCGTAAGCAGAATAGTGACATATTTTTCGTAATATTCTAAATACACACACATATAACATTAAAAAAATGAATCTCGAATTGAATCGCTCTCCCCTCCGGCAAGGTGTAATACACACATACATATGTATGTATGTACTTATATATTTGCAGCCACCCGAAACGCACTTGCTGCTAAAATAACACTTTCGTTGTTCCTTTTATCGGCTGCTCTCTTTCTCAGCAAAAAATTGAGAGTAAGCGCATGGAAGCAGCGGCGGCGGCAGTGCATGGTTGCGCTGTGCTTTAATTAGTGCACATGCACTTAACCCTTCACTTCGCACGCACTCGAAACCCCTCCCGCATTCCTCTTCACACCCCTTCTCATTGCCATTACTCCGACAAAGGCAAAGGGAATGTGCGTAACGAGCAATTTTCATGGCTGCGCGATTTTAATCCAACAACAGTCGCTGAGGGTGGGGTGGGATGAAGAGGTGGCACGACTAGCGCAGGAGGCACCACTCTTTGGTTGGTGACGAAGTTTCCGACCGACTTGTGTTGCCAATTTTCACTAATTAGAGCCGTCGGACTGGCAAAAGGCAGCCGCCATTTTGTGTTGCCTCCAGCGGCGGGGACCCTTTTACTTTGTTTCCCCCCGTACAAACACTTTTCGGCAGAGTATGCCTCTCTCCCACACACTCGTCCTGTCTCTCTCTTGCTCTTGCGCTCTGTCCCTCTCGTTTTTGGCAGCAGCATTTTTAGTATTTTTTGCCATTTGCGATATTTTTGGCTTTAGAGCTGGGGACATTTTTGTGGCTGGAAAAACATACTGGAAATATTAGAAAGAGAGAGAGAGAGAGAGAGCGTGTAGCAGGTGCAGCTGCAGCGATTAACGAAGCGCAAAGTTATCATAGCATCATGCAACTCAGTAACTACATACCATGTGGCAGGCACCACATTGTTGCAACATTTCATGCCGGACTGCACCATTTTTGGGTTGTAATCCAACAGTCAGCAACTGCAGTGATGACCTGACTCTTGCTGTCTCCCTTCCACGCTGGAATAACACAGATGATGGATGATGGTCATGGTCCCACCGTCTATCTCCTCTCCTCTCTCTGGTTCTTTTCTCGTTTCTCTGTTAACCCCACCATGGGCCCAAGCGTCTGGCCGAGGGACGAGCGTAAAGCGCTTTTGTAGTTAATTAAAAATCAACTGCCGTCGGTCTGTTTGTTCAATGGATTTCATGCACGTTTCCAATGTCTGTGCCACACACACTGCCTGATCCCACACCCATCACCCGCTCAGAGCTTGCCACACTGAGGATTTCCGGCCGTATCAGCGATTTATGCGCTTTTGGATGAAAAATCTGTGGAAATATTTGCCGTGGCCCTGGCCCTGGCGCTGCTGCTGTGACGTGTAACGGTGGCACACGCCTCCAAGGCGTGCCGTGCCCCATGCATGCCAAGTCCTGGCGCCATTTTGTTGCCCATCAATCAGCCGCACCGCGCCCCTCCGCTCCGCTCCTGTCTCCATCTTTTTTCCGCCTTTGTTTATTTAATTTTCACCGAAAAATGTTCACTGCCATTTTTGGCACAGCAGCAGCCCCCGCACCGAGAAAGCGGCAAAAAACGTGCCCGCGGCCCCGCTGGCAAAATTGTTGTGCGTTAGTCAGATTTTAAACGGATGGAGGGGCACACACACACTCTCCCGAGGGGGAGGGGATCACCACTCTCCGGTCGAGTGGGCGGCCGTATGTTGGCCGTACAAATTACGGGATTAGCAGGGAGACGCGCGCGCGTTTTTTCCCGCACACGCCAAAAAACCCGTATACCGCAGAACCCCTTGGGGTATATAGTTCCACCGGATTAGGGTTCAATGCGGTTGGTTGGCTAACAATTTAATTAAAATATGCAACTTTAATAATGCGAAAATCCCAAAAATGCAATCAACCAGATTGGGGCGGCAAAAAACGCCAATGTTGTTTTTCCAGCAAGTTTTATTTTTCGTATTTTTAGATTTTATGGATTAAAACGGTTGCATAGCTAATTAGTCGGGGCATGTACATACATATGTGCGTATGTATGTATGTGTTGACATAATTAAGCTGACTAAATCACAAATTCATTGGCTACTGTCATGCCCCCCTGCGCCCACAGGCGGAAAAACGCACGCGTTTTCAGTGTGTTTTGTTGTTTTAATAACATAAGCTCATAAAATTATGAAAATTATGAAAATAAATAACTAAAACATACAGAAAGAGAGATAGAGCGCTGCGGGGGGCTCGAGGTCTGTCAAAAATCTAATTAAATTAAGTTGAAAATGGAAAAATGTGATATATATTTCATATTTAGAAAACGACATCTCCCTGACATCTGCAACGGGGCGGAAACAGACATCAAACAATGAGCGTTGATCTGGGCTGCCAACTGGCTTCAAAGGTTGCCACGGGAATGAAGCATCGCCATTTTGTGGCACATACCATTCCATTCCATCCATCCATTCATCCTAAGCAAATAAGCCAGAGAGAGGTCCTTGGAGCAGCTGCAGAAATTTACACAAATTTTATGCAAACTTAAATGAAAATGAGCTCAAGGGAATGGGGAAAGCAGAGTGGGGAGAATCTGTAGATAAGTTTAGCGCCACAAACGCACTTCAGTGTCATTGGCTCTTCCGCTTTCCACACCCGTTTCCGGCTTTCCTGCTTTTCCGCTTCCTTTTCTTGTTATTTCAACAAATTCAGTCGATTTGCTGCATAAACATTTCCATTTCCCCCAAAAAAACTTTTCCCTCGAATGATAACATTGTGGAAAATCAACTTTTCTCGGAACGCCTGCTAATTGTTCTAATTAAACTTTTACCCTGGCTCTCATTTCCACGTCGGAAAATTGAGTTTTCCCCCAGAATATTCCCAGTATTTATTCAACAAATAATCAACAAACAAACAGACAAATAAACAAATAGGGGTTGCAAAATGTTGTACCATTGCATTCGGATTGGGCAAACGGACAGAAACGGGAGAAACAGGGCGTGAGAGGGAGAGTGGGAGTGGGAGAAAGAGATGTGTAGTATGCGTAGAAAAGAGAGAGAAGACTCCGCCTACGGTTGGGCAGGAGATTGGGATGTGCCAGTGGGTGTGTGTTGGGGGCTCATGACAAGACTCGGGTGATGATATAGCACTGTCCACAAGGGTGATTAAACAACACGGATGCCATCCCCCCAGCCTCACTCTCTCTCTCTCGCTCTCTCTCTCTTGGGTGGAAGTTAACCCCTAAGCCACTTCACAGCCGCCTTTTGTTTTAATTAACTAAGTAGCAGGAAGCGGAAAGTGGGCGTAAGATGGGGCGATAATTGAGTGTAAGAGGTGGCGAGAACGGCTGTAAGAGAGGAGCGGATGAGTGGGTGGGTGTAGCGAAAGAAACATTCCAGGAAATTGTGGGTGTGGCCAAAGACTAATTAAAGAGACCCCAAAAAATGAGCAAAAAACAAGAAAAATACAGGAACAAATAACAAAGGACGGGACAAGATCTAATGAGAAGTGAAGCACCCTCCACCCTGTCCATTATACCCATTGCTACCCCAAACGTGAAAGAAGCTGTAACTACTCTTTGAATTTTCCTCACTTTTTGTGAGGAAATCATTTCTTTGGATTTTTATTTTCATGAGAAGTTTTGCAAAAGACTCTCAGTATCTTTGCTATCTCCTTTTGATCCCCCTTTCGAGCCCTTGGCACTTACTCTCCAGACGCAGAGCATGCCGCATTTGCTACCCTTAAACTTTGAGAACTTTTCTCCCTGCCCATTGCTTGACTTTTCCTCGCTTGAAAGACCTCTTCTCTCCATACATTTTCCTTTCCTCCACACAATTAATTACAATTACAATAAGTCATCTAATTAAGCGCCAAAGAGGCACTGGGCGAGGGTGGGTCTGTGGCGTTCTGTCCCTGGCAACTGTCCAAAGATAAACCCCTCTTCCGAGTGGAAGCCATACCAAAAGATGGAGAGCAAAAAATTACTTAAAATATTTATGGAAAAAGAATCAAAGGAGAGCAAGGGAAGGGAAGGGAAGGGCAGGCAGAAGGAGCAGAAATTACGAGCAAAACGGATGAAAGTGTTTTTGAAGCCCCGCCACAGTGAAAAGTAACCAAGGCAGCGAATCCGCAACCACCCACAGAATTCCACCAACTAAATCCACGTTTTTCTCGCTCTCTTTTCTTCCAGGTATGGTTCAAGAATCGTCGGGCCAAGTGGCGCAAACAGAAACGAGAGGAGCAGGAGCGGCTCCGCAAGCTGCAGGAGGAGCAGTGCGGCAGCACCACCAACAATACCACAGGCAGTGGCGGCACAGCCAACAGCAGCAGCACCACTGGTTCCCCGCCTGGCGGCGTCCCCAAAGGACAACAGCATCACGGGGCAGAGCACTATGCCGCACAGATGGTGCACATCAAGAGCGATCCCAATGGCTACAGCGATGCGGACGAGTCCTCCGATCTGGAGGTGGCCTAAATCGGGGAATACACACCCACTGTATATATAGATATATAGCTCTAAGATCTAGTTGTATTTCGCTAGTGCTTTTGTTTTGTATATAGAAAAATGTGAAGATTTTTAAAGTATTTTTTGTTACTAAGTTCTTAAGCGGAAAAAAGAAGAGAGAGAAGTGGAGTATTAGCAAAGTATCATAATATATATATATAGTCAAATCTGTACAGTCACTAAAATATATATACCTATATATATATATATAGATGTCTGAGTGCATGTGTGATCGGTGTTTACTGAATGAATGGATTTTGTCGTAATTGTTTCCTGTGTCCTGTAATTGCATCTAAAGAAAACTCTCGATAAAAAAGAATCACCATAAACGATTACGATATACATAAATAATGCAAATGAACAAGTGTAATTCCTCCAACGATTAATTCTAATGTTAAACCTAACTTATTGAAAACACACACACACACACACATCCTAAAGAGAAAAACCTCGAATAAAACCCCAAAACTCGCCAAAAAGTCAAAGAAAAACGATTTTAAAAGTTTATTTTTTGGGTTTGGCTAAACTTTCATCGATAAGTGGGAAGACCCAGAGAGAGGCTTTCACACCTGGAGAGGTTTCAGGGCAGCCAGGTAATAGGAGACCCAAAGAGCAGCATGGTCATCCTTCGATGGACACTTCAATGGCTTCGCCTCCAATCAATTTGCAGACAAGCGAAAACACACAAAGGAAATAGAAATGATAGAAGGATGGTCGAAGCGGGAGCAGGAAAATTGTATTTGTATCTTCTCTTGGGCAAATGGTAGCCGTATCTGTGTATCTGCATGTCGTCTCTTGGCATTTGTTGAATATTTTCATTCTGGCATTTGGCACCAAAACAACCATCTTTTACACTGAGGGAAAAGTTGAGGAGGTTTTTTTTGGTGAGAAGTGTTTTAAGAGTGGAGCGATTTTGTTTTAATATAGTTTTCTTTTGGTTTCTTTTATTGAATTTAAAATATGTTGCTTCCAATATGATCCTTCCAATCTTCCCTGTCTCCTGCCTCTCGTTTTGGTAGTTCTCCAAAGTGCTATGGAGCGAACGGTTTTATGGGCCTGTGAAGGTGATTCTGTATTTCACAATTCCCCATCCTACATCCTAATCATCCTTTGAATTAAGATTTTCGAACATTTCCATTTACAGATCGAATCGTTAAGAGACATTTCGCTCGACGAAGAGTCGATTGTAGTCATGATAGTGCACTGGAACCGCGCTGTCGATCCGACTCGTTGGAATCGCTCTTCATCTGTGGGTTCTGATCTTAGTCATATTTTAGGTAGACTTGAGGTGCTTACGTGCTTATAGCGGGATTTTAGAAAAGGGTTAGAAAGGAAATCAGAATGACAACCGACAAGAAGGTGGCTGGATATCAACTGAGCCTGTCTTGAGTAAATAGCATCCAAGCAAGCAGATACCACGAAGAGATTTCAAGACACATTGATGACATTTGAATCTTCAGCATATCGACCATTCGACTATACTTTTCTGTCAGTGCACTTTTTCGACTAGGTTGACTTGTTAAAGCACCTTCTCCTCCCTCTGCAATCATAAATTTCACTGACAAATTGTCCTGTTGCCAAATGCCTTGGACTCTGTGTCGTTGTGTCCCTTTCTACTTGTTTTTTTCATTCACTTTTTTTGCTGGTTGTTTTGTCTTTTTGGCAAAGTTTCCATCTTGTTATTTTCCATTTGTCCTTTGGAGAGGAGCACAGACCCAGAGAGCGAGAGAAAACGACTCCACCAATCAATGGACAAAAATTCTAATTCAAATTTATTCCATCTTTCGATTTGAGTCGAGGCTCTGGCTCTCCTTTACCCCTATCCACAATATCTCCCCTTTTTGCCGCCATTTTCTCTGTTGGCCATTTGCCTTTTGTGCCCTGTCATTGCCCTGTTTGCCTGTGTATTTGGATAGGCCGATGCCTATGCCTACATATACCCCCACCATTCTATCCCATCCTTATTCCCTTCCTTATGATATGATCTCGAATTACTAGCCGCAATCTGCAATCCCCGAATCATCGAATCCCGGGGATCGGGCCTAGTTACTGGTCCTCTGTTTGCACTCCGTTAATAGTTCGTGTAAAAATCTACAAATATTTGCACTCTATTAATTTTTCTGATTTCCTTTCTTTCTTTCTTTTTTTTTCTGGGTTCCCATTCTCGTATTTCTTTTGTTTTTCTAGTGCACGCTTCGCATAATTTTTTTGTCGTCGTACAACACGAAATTTAATATACACTTCCCCATCCATTTGCCCCTTCCCTTTACTTCCCTCATATTTACACGCAGGACAAACAGAGCAAAAGTTTTTCTCTCTTTTTAAAATAAAAATTATACATTTAAGCGTTAAGTACAGTACGGCACAAAGCTGTAAGGTTCTGAATAATACTCGAAGAACGTAGAAAAAAAAGGGTTTGAATCGAAAGAAAATGTTTAGAGGGTCTTGAAATCGAGATTCTATTGATTATGTTATGGAATCGATCACAATATGCCATCGATTGGAATAAATTGACTTGATTATGACCAAAAATTCGATAAGATTTATCAGAAAATTCATTAGTTTATTCCTTTTCTGTGGAATCTTTATAGAAGTAATTCGTATATGTAGAATTATTATTGCTATCCTTTCTACTCGGTAGTATTCATTTCGATTTATTTGGTAAATAAATCGATCCTTGTTAAGGGGATTGGATTTTATCTCGATTACAATTCTTTATCGTCGACCCTTAATGGATAAATGCAAGTAAATGATTTCATTCCACAGACTTTTCATGTTACTTTATCACTCTGTCATTTCGGGCCTATACTTTTGAAACGCACTGTATATATAAGTACGTACAGTACATATGTAATGTATATGCATACACATTTTTCATATATATTTTTTTGTCCGACCAATTTTTGACGCGTTTGTGTGTGTGTGTGTGTGGCACATGCAATATTTACCCATTAAATTTGCCTTTAATTAAATGTACCCCCCTCCACTTTTCCTGCTTCATGCTCTCTCCCTCTGTTACACCTTTTTTCCGACTTTTTCCGGATCCGAAAAGGGATATGGCGGGCGAGGAAAGGCAGAGTAGGGGCCGACATTTCGTTTGTTGAAATAAAAATATTGTTAATTGCAATTTATTCACATGAACACCTCCTCTGGGATCGAAACGGAAACGGAAATGGCAGCAGCAGCAGGCGGAGGAGAGGAGGGGGAGTGGAAAACGGAAGGAGTAATTTTCAGTCAAATTCGATTTTAATATTTCATTATTTAATATTGTCCCCGGCCGGAGGTAGGGGATCGAATGCATATGCATAATGAATAACTCATTTGGAATCCAATGGAGAGACTCATGAATGCTGCCACGGGTTCTGCACGACCCCTCCCTCCCTCCTTCCTCCCATGACTAATGTGAAATGCTTTTGGGGAATGGATTGGGGATAAATGTGGAATTATAAGGAACATTTGAGCAATATTCGATGTTTTATAGGTCGTTATACACAAGGATTTCAAAAGGAGGAAGACGAAAGGATGTAGCATATTAAGCACAGGCAATATGCATACATGCCACAGATCCTTCAGTAAATAGTAGAGCAGTACATTCTCCTAGTTAAGAAAGAATAATCCTTGGTAACAGGGCAACGGTTTCCAGGGTACTCGACACCTCATCACTCAGATCAAAGACCATCCGACTGGCCGGTTGACCCATGCTATTGGCCCCGAGGGCAGGACCTGGTCTGGTCGGTAGATTAGCAGGCGGAGCAGGTGAGTTTAATCCATAAAATGTGCGATTATTGCGTTTATGCGGCCCGGGGCGCATTCGATATAAAATATAAACAAACGTTAGAGAAATTACAGCACAAAAGCCGAGCAAGGAGCAGGAAGGACGCCGTGTCCTTATGCCGAACGTACGCACACACATGTTCCGTGCTCTGCCCTTCTCTGCTCTCCGCTCTCCGCTCTCTCCTGTCTTCCCTTATTTGACTATCGATTAAAGTTTGTGGTCCTTGCGCACACAGTACCCCGGGGTCGAGTGCTCGAAATAATACCGAAGAAAAGATTTTCGATTAATTTTAAATGTGACAGGACAAGCAGAAGGAGCAGGAGCGGGCTGGTTGGTAATGGGAATGGGTGACAGCCCCTTGGAATGCAGGAATACCAAAAAAGTATCCTGTGCGCTTCGGTGCGTCCTCCTCATAACGTGAGGATTATCCAATGGCAACCAGACGGATGCCGGATATCAACCCCTGTCCGGGAATAATGAACTTTTTTCGGACCAGTGTTGTCTGGGGCGTGGTATCTTTGCGGCCAGTCCACCCGCTGGGGCATCCACCTCAGACGTCAATTAGCTCATTGTCATCGCAAAATGGCTGACAGCACTGCGGCAGGAGCACAGGAGGATACGGATGTGGATGTGGATGGGCCCACGCAGAGGCAGCAGCATTAGGTGGCCCTTGGCCTCTGCAAATCCACAAGGAGCTTGCCAAGGTGTTAAGCCAGCTGAGCCGCGGCCCACCTGTGCACACCCTGCTCCTGCAGCTTTCCGTAGTGCTCTTCGCCTGTGAGCTCTGCCTCGAGCAGGATGCAGTCCGAAGAGTCCGCCGGAAGAGTGTTAGGCGTTCAAAGGACCATAACTTGATTAAATCTCTTCCAGATTTACCATTAACGGGAATGGTTTCTGGTTAAAAAAGACCACATAGAGTATGCTGCACATCTCAAGTGTTAGTGACTACATGCCGCGCTTCAATTATGGCGAAAAAAGTAAAACAAATTCAAAATTTTAGGAATATATTAGCATAGGCCTGGAGATAAATGCGTGTAACACTCAGAAGGAAGGGTTTCCGAATCCATCTAGTATATATATTCCTGAACAGCACCAATAGCCGAGTCGATTGAGCCATGTCGGAGCCGGATCACTGTAATGGCACCCTGAGGAGCATTCCTTAGTTCCTTGTTCCAAGAAATCGGGGTATCCAGACCCTAAAAAAGAGTCGCGCGGATTGTCCCAAAAGTGCGTCCGTCATATGCAATGTAAGTACAGAAACGCCCCTTGCAATGTTTTTCGCTCTGCCATCCCTCTTACAGCTATCCTTCCCCTGGCAGCTTTCGCCCCCCGTAAGCTTTGATACACAAAGCCGTGGCCAGCAACACAGACGAGGCTCCAGAGAGGAGGGTCAGGGACTCCTCCCACAGCTAAGACTGCTTAGGTCCTGCAGTAGGGCAGAGGATGAGGAGCCCCACTAATAATGGTAAGTGGAAATTACAGGCAACAGAGTATTGGCTGTGCAGCAGGGATTGCACAGAGGAGGTGGCGCAGCCAGAGAGGTACAGCAATTGTTAAAAAGCAAAGCAAATGTTATTGCCGAACAAACAGCAGTGAAACCCGAAATCCATTCAAATCGCACAATTAGTTTGCCTCTAATCCGAGCCACAAATAAGGAGAGGAGTCGGGGTGGGTGTGTTCCTTTGTTACGCACCACACACTCATGCATCATGTGCCACATGTAGGGGAATCCATAGAAGCTTCCATAGACCTGCCCCCGAAAAGGTAGTCAAGGACTCTCGACTCGCCTCGTCTCGAAATATTTCATGTTCTGTTCTTTTATATATCGGGGTGCAACCAGGGACGGGGAACAAAGGCGATAAGCAGGTGATGTACACTCGAAAAAGTTCCCTAAACATTGGTACAAATATTGCGGTTTGCTACAAAAGTTCCATCCAAAAAGGTGTTCTATAATCATCTTTGTGAATGTACTTAGATATCGACTTATTAGACTAGAACATTGACTAGAAAACAAGAATATAACTAGAACTAGAACTGGCTTCTGTCCACTCCACTCTCTCCTCCGCAACCCTGGATCATCATAGCAACATCAATTAAAATTAACATTAAGATTGGGTTTAAGATTAGTTTAACTATGCATTTGATTGGCCTAAATTGGATTCACAGGATATCGCTGGCCCCCGCCTCATGCTGATGATGATGGTGATGCTGATGCTGGTGATGATGATGATGCAGCTGCTCGACCAGGTCGGCTATGCCCTCCACTCCAATGCTCAGCGAGGGCAGCGTCTTGTCCAGCACCAGCAGGGATGGGGGCGATGATCCCTTTGAATGATCCCCGTCACTCACTTGGTGGGAGAGCAGCGAACAGGAGAGGCCACCGCCGAACGAGGCCATGCCGAGGCCACTGCTCGACCCAATCCCGTCCAGGCAGAGCGATTGGAGGCCATTGGAGTCGCCATTGGAGCTGAGGTGGGACGGAGCGTGACTCACGTAAGGAGCGATCTGCGGGAGCGGGAGCGGCGACTGCTCCATGCTGAGGATGCAGTCCGCCTTGAAGCTGTCGATGGTGAACTGGTCCACGCTGAGGAACTTCATCTCGTCGTAGGCGGAGGACCCATCAGCCATGTCCAGGTCCAGGGAGCAGGCAGCAAACTCCAGTCCCTCATGGTGGTCCTGCTCCTGCTGCTGAGAATTCTGATGCTGCTGCTGTGGCTGTTGGTGCTCATGCTGATGATGATTATGATGATGATGATGCTGCTGAGGCGGGTGCTGATGCTGCTGCTCGGACTCCATCTGCGAGTGCGGATGCGGTTCCGTCTGCTGCTGCGGCGGATAGGTGGACCACTCCATGGACAGGCCACTGCCACCCCGTTCCAGGCCCAGGTGATCGATATTCAGGTTGAGGAAGATGTTGGGCGAGAGCCGTGACGGCGACAGGGCCCCAGTTCCATAGGGCGCCTTCAGTTCGTTGTCCAGCGAATTGGATGACTGCGGCGGGGTGTCCGGCAGCAGGGTACCGCCAGCACCTATAGAGGGGATTGAGGACATTAATAGCTAGCGAGCTTGAGCAGAATCAATGGAACTGATGGATGCCTACCCAATGCACTATCCAATTGACCCAGAACCGCCGCACTATCATCGTAGGCCACATCCAGATCCAGACCTCCTTCTTTGTAGTCCCCCATGCTGCCGCCAATCTTCTCCTGTTTGCGCCACTTGGCTCTGCGGTTCTGGAACCACACCTGGACCCGAGCCTCCGTCAGATCAATGCGCACGGCCAGCTCCTCCCGAAAGAAGACATCCGGGTAGTGGGTGCGCTGGAAGGCCCGCTCCAGCTCCTGCAGTTGCAGCGTATTGAAGGTGGTTCTATGGAGAAACAAGCGAGAGTTAGAAGAGAGACTCTGTAGTAGATTCCCTGGAGGATGGAGTGTGGAGAGTGCCTACCTGTATCTTCTCTGCTTGCGCTTCATTGTGCCTTTGTCCATGCGAATCCTGAGTGGGTTCGGGATGTGGAGTCTACTAGTGTCTGCCGTGGTTCGTCCTCTCCCTTCGCTCCTTCCTTACTTCCTTCCTTCTATTGTGCCTGTCCGATGGGTCGGATCGGATCGGTCTTCAAGTGAGTCTTGACATAGTCGCAATGTGTGTTTTTCTATTTTTTAACGATTTTCGTCGACACTTTGAGGGCTTCCTGCTACCTTTTGCCACCTCTCGCTTTTCCGCCCCAACAAATTCCGCAGCGGAAAACTGTACAACAACAACAACATCAACGAGAGAGATATCCAAAGATATATCTCTACGAAGATATCCCAATTGAAAAAAGCGTATGAATAATCCACGTAGAACGGATGCTGCTGCTGTCTGCAGCTCCTCCACTGCTTACAGTTTGAGAGAACGCGGCTCTAAAACTGTGTGTGTGCGTGTCAAACTGTAGGGCGAGCGACGTTCTTTCCACGACGACGCGCATTCAACTGAGTAGGATTGCCGGAGTCCAATGCGTGCTGCCCGTCGGTGGAGAAGCCCTAAAAGTGGGGGCCCATTCGCTTGTGCACCCTACGCCCCACGCGGACTGTGGCATTGTCTGACCCGTGGCACCCGTAGTCCCCAACAGAAGTCGCTCTAGCCGAGCCTGCACCTGGACTGACCATTGTGAGAAGGGGAGAGATAGACGACAGTGCAGAGAGAGAGTGAGCTCATATCTGATGATGACGACACAAGCGGAACCAAAGGCTTTGTTCAGGATCTCCAATCAGAAGAAATTTCATATGAAATGGAACCCATTCGCACTCCGGATAGGAGTAAAATCGTTTGCATGAAAGGCGTATTTCTAGGCTTAGGGACTACGAGTTTTTTTGTGGTCTGTAGGGCAATGAGACGAGGGAACTTGAAGCGCAGAAAGCTGAATCGTTGTACGATGTCAGAGGTTATTCAGTGGTAGAAAAATCCTCCACAATTTGAATGAAAAATTCCCAGGGAAATCCAGCCAAAAACTAGCCGCACCCCCACTCAAGTGGTGGGTGGAGGAGTAGCGCCGACCACCGACCTTTTGCCTGGGCATATGTACATATGTCTGGGTCAGTGGGCTTCTTTTGGCCCCACTCCACGCTCCCACGCCACACCACTTGAGGCCTTAAAGCCATTTTCCCCATTGAAAGGCAGTGGAGTATAAATAGCCAAAGGATTCAACCCCATCCCCCAGCCACCTACCCCAGTGACCACTCTCGAGTCCAGTCCGCCTCCAGCCCATTGTTATAGTGTCAACAGTTGGGTGGTCATTGTTTCGCCATCCAGGTGACGGCCCATAATGGATGCCTCTCTTGCGCCACACATACACAAAAGGTAATCCGAGAGCCGGCTATTCTCCATTGTCCAGTGGGAAAATTCGCGCATATAAAAGAGCCGGGATTCCTTGCTGGGAGCCGCACAAGGAGTTAAGCTCTGCACAGGCACGGATCCAGGAGGATGGTCTGGGTGAGTCCAGGGAGACATCTCTCAGCTGAAGCAGCACTGCTTAAGGGGTTATTCCTTGGTTTCCCAGTTTCCCGTTTCGATAGCGGCGCTGGCGCTGCTTTGCCTGGCCAGTAGAGGAGCAGTAGGAGGCAGTCGAGGAGTCTACCCCAGCGAAGGAGGAGGCTACGAGGAGATGGAGGATCAGGAGCAAGAGCAAGAGCAGCCGGACCGCAGTACTTCCAAGATGCTCAGCGCTCTTTTCGGATTCGGCCAGAGCACGCCACATCCCACAGAGACTTCGGTGGCCATGCCCCACCAGCTGCAGCTGCCGGTGATGTACTACAACGATTTCTACGAGGATCTGCTGGCCACCAAGCGCAACGACGTCCACTCTGCCGGATGCGATTGCAAAGTTACGGTTTGTTAAGATCCCCAATCCTCCAGCGGATAGTCACAGTCTCTGTCCGTCCCTCCTCTAGAACGAACTCCTCGACCTGGGCAACCTTCACTTTCCGCGCTATCTGATGAACGCCGTGTGCGAGTCTCGTCCCGCCCAGGGCGCCAAGTGCACACACGGCTCCAACTGCAGGCCTCTCGAGTACAAGGTGAAGGTGCTGGCCCAAGGCTCGGTGCCCGATCGTGCTGCCTCCTGGCTGAACAAGGAAATGACAGCGGCCCAGTTGTGGCAGTTTAAGACGGTCACCGTCACCGCCGGTTGCTTCTGTGCCAAGTAAATGACGGGCTGTAGATGTGAAATAGTCGTATATTAATTAAAGCGCCAAAAAGACGCCAAACTGTCTTTATTGCGGTTGGAGATTCGAAGGGGAACAGATTTTTATAGCTATCTTCTAAAAATAAGGCATTTTCTCGGGTTCTAAGAATGGATTATTTAAAATACTCTAGTGTCTGTCTCGTGTACATATGATATAGGCTAATAAAAAGTGTATCAGAAATCGTAAAAAACACCTCAGAATACAAGAGGATTGTGCGAATGTAGAAATTAGAAAGGGATGTGTTAAAGATTAGGTCCTCTTGAACTTTGTAAAATACTTCTCTGTTCTTTGAGCTTATTCTCACTTTTCTTGTTTATCTTGATTAAATCTATACGTATTTCGACTCCTACCAAGTGCAACTCGATAAGAACGAAAGGTTTTTTGTATGAAATGTGTAAAATATTCGATGGGGAAATCGATTCCCCGTTGAGTCAAGGCACTTTTTCAAACTAGTAGATAAATGGACGGCAAACGGTTACAGTTCTACCTGGAGTTCTAACGTATGGAGGTTGGAACAATTGGAATGTGGGTTGAGAGAGATTCCCTGTATGGCTAAGAGCGTGGAATGAGCCAAGAGCCCACACCCAGCAGCGTCATCAGCAGGGTAAGACCCACGGCCTGGCGTTGTCCGGCAGGAGCACCACTCTGCAAGAAAGATTGGTAAGTTGGAGGTACTACTTAACCCCTTCCGAAAGGGCCACTCACAATCACAAAATAGTTGCAGCGATCGCCTGGGCAACACTCGTTGCAGGCCCAATCCTCGTACCAGATGTGGGTGCAGTAGAGCTGCATATAGCGTTTCCGCTTGGACTGGCACTGCTCCTTGGTCATGCAGCGCTTGGACACGTAGTACTGCTTGAGAGCGCCTTCGGAGAAGTAGGGTTGGCTGCCCCAACGGATCTCCGTACCACAGACATTCTCAAAGGGCTCGCAGGTCTTGATCGTGTTGAGGCACTTTTCCGTATTGCCCGTCTGGTTGGAGCACACATAGCACTCCAGGCCGGCCACAAAACTCACTAGATATCGGGGAGATTATAAAGTATTATTGAGGTGTGGCCCGTAAATCTCTAGCATACAGGTTCAGACCCACCTTGCGTGCACAGATAAACAGCAGCTAGTGCTAGCACAGCAATCTCCCAGGATTTCATCGTGGGTCGTTGTTCAATCGCAGTCTCAGTGGACAGCAGCAGCAGATAACAAATGCGGTAAATAAAGATGAATAATTGACAAACAAAAACCACTCCCAAAGCATCAGCAACAAATTAGAAGACGCGTGAGTTTTACAACCCTAGCTATTTGGTTGTTTGGCAACACTGCAATCGTGCAACAGTGCTGGCATTCATAAAATCAGCATTACGCTGAAAAATTGCTAGATATTTATTTAAAATTAATGCAATTTACGCCTCATGTAACAAATGGAGCTGTTGCATAAATATTTAGTGGGAGTTGTGCATATAAACCCCTGGGATCTGGATGGTTATTAATTCATCATTTGTAACGCAAGCAGTTTCTTGCTGACAAAAGCCAAATCTCACTGAAAACAAGCCAAAGCGCCATCACCGATTCAGCGTTAACCGCGCAACCATTTTCTGCGCTAAATTTCTCAACATTCTGTTTGCTGCTCTGTTGCTTCTGTCTGCCACCCACCGCCTGGACAGACGACCAGACACCTCACAAAACATGGCCAGAAACGATCAGAAAGCAGTGCACCTGCCCAGCCCAGCGCTGCCCGTGGGATTCCGACAGTTTGCCACACAGGTGGCCGGGCACACATTCGAGGCGACCAATGCCGCCGCCGTGGGCCTCCTGCAGGACTCCGTCGCGGGATGCGTGCTAAAGCCGCTGGGAAAGCCCGAGTGTGAGGTGCGCGAACTGAACTTTTATGAGTCATTGGCATCGGCGGCCGTAGCGTCGACGGCGGCGGGAGCCATGGCCGAAGCGAAAGCGCCAGGTGATAATGACCTTGCCGCCCTCAGTCGTCACGTCCCGCGGTTTTACGGCCATCTCAAACTGGTTGTGAATCAGCGCGAGCACACATTTGTCAGGCTGGAAGACCTCACGAGCGGCATGCAGCAGCCGTGTGTCATGGACGTGAAGATGGGACGCCGCACGTGGGACCCCATGTCCTCGCCGCACAAGCGCCAGGTGGAGGAGCAAAAGTATGTGATATGCAAGCAGAAGCTTGGCCTCTGCTTGCCCGGTTTCCTGGTCTACCTCCCCGCGGAAGAGCCCGGCAAGACTGTGGTGCTGCGTCACGGCAAGGATTACGGCAAGAGCCTGAATGTGGCTGGCTTCAGGCAGACCATGGGCATCTTTTTCAATGCCAGCACCAGCGACTCGAAGACACGAGCCGCCGGTTCCGAGATCCTGCTCAGGGAAGTGCTGCGACAACTGCAGGAGATCCTCGCCTGGTTCAAGCGCCAGCGACTGCTCCACTTCTACGCCAGCTCCCTGCTCATCTGTTACGACTATGCCCGACTCAGCTCCGAGTCCCAGCCACCGCCCTCGCCTCTGCTCAATGGCCACCATCAACATCATCAATGCTCCGAAGATCCCTCCGAGTGGATACGCGTGCGCATGATTGACTTTGCTCATGTCTATCCTGCGGAGGATGGCCAACCCGATGAGAATTACATGTTCGGACTGCAGAGCCTCATCGAGGTGGTCCGATCCATACTCTACCGATAGCCAAGACCAAGGAGCAGCCACTCCAACTACTCCAAGTAATCCACACATTTGTATTATTGCGTAAGCCAAAAGATTAGTCCACAGTAGGACCCTAAAGAAGGGAATGGGTAGAATAAAACCCGGTTTTTTACAATTTGTGTATATATTTTGTGTGTCTTCCAATCCTAGTGCTAGTGCTTGATTCCGATTCCCCGGGGATCCCTTAGAGCATATAGTCCATTTCGTATCGCTCGTACTGGTTCTTAGGATCGTTGGTGATCCGCGGATAGCCCGCAATGAGAGCATCCTGCCCCCCGATGTACAGCGAATTGTAGATCTTCCAGTAGACATCGCGTACCTTGCGGGCGGGATGGAAGAGCCCCTGGAGCGTGTACTGCAGTATCTTGATGGAGCCCAGGGAGACCCTCAGTCCGTCCACGGAGTCCATGAAAGCCTGCACCAGATGCGGTGACGTCTCGAAGATATTGGGCCACACATAGTTCAACAGATGCGTGAGGGCGTCCTCGCAGCCAAAGCCATAGACTCCCAGGGACATGTGCTTGATGGCCGAGCAGGCCGTCTGCCGATGCACCAGATCGCGGTCCATTAGGGCATCCTCCAGCAAGGGGCAGACGGCGTATATGTAGTCCTTGCCCATCTCCCCGATGTACTCGAAGAGGAAGGCCAGCGACTTGAGCACACCGTTCTGTACATTCAGCTCGGGCACCCGGTACTCGTTCATCAAAGCGGGCAGGACAGTGAAGGGGCGACAGGTCTCGGCCACAATGGCAATGGCCACGGTGGTGCAGACCCGGTTCTGGCGCTCCTGCACCTTCAGATTGTTCAGAAGCGTGGCCAGGACATCGTGGGGGCCGATGGCCTTGGCAATGTATCCGAAAGTGTTGACTGTGGCTCGTCGGATGGCCTTCTTGTGGGCCTTGAGCAGCTCCAGGAGCTCGAAACAGATGCGCATCCATTCGCGGGCAGAAACGTACTCGGGTCCGCGATCGGCAATGCGTCCCACGAGGTCGATGCAGTTCTCCTGCACTTTCTCGTGTCGGTTCTTCAGGATGGGGGTGAGGCGGGGCAAGAGATCTTTGATGGGCGGCGTCATCTTGGTCATGCCAATGACATTCACGATGGCCTTGAGGGCCCCCAGGATGCTGCCCAGCACCTCGGGATACTCCTCGCCCAGATACTCGTAGAGAACGACACCGAGATGGCCCATCAGCTTCTCCTCCTGGCAGGTCTTCATCACGACTGCGATCCTCGAGATGAGATCCGCCGCCTGCTGTCGCACCTTCGCGGACTTGTTGTTCAGCCGCCACAGGATGGTGCCGCAAATCTGCGGCAGATATGGCTTCACGCGCTTCCCCAACTGATTGACGATGGTGCCGAAGCCATTCAGCATGACCACATCCTCGGTGGTTTGCTCCTGGAAGGCGTACAGAATGCCGTCGATGAGCTGCTCCTCGAGGCGGGAATCGATGTCGGCTGCCCCCAGGTTGCCCATGATCTTCTCCACCGTTTCCATCACCATTTTGCGGTACTGCTCGTTCTCGTCCTTCAGGTCGTCCACCACTCGATTGATGATCTCCGAGGCCCCCACCTTGTTGGCTATCTCGACGGTGGTGTCCACTAGCTGGCGGTAGTTGCGTCTGTCCAGGGCCATGCGATGATTCCAGAAGAACTTGAAGAAGTGCGGCAGGATTTCCTCCTTGATGTACTGCGGCTCCACGCCGTCGGTGGCGCAACACTGCTTCACCACTTTGAGGACAATCTTCTTCATCTCCTCGTCGGGCGATTGGAACTCTCGAATGAGGATCAGCATCACCTCGCGCGTGTAGTAGTTGGCGTATTCGGCGTCCATCAGGGGAATCAGGTAGCCAATGGCCTTCAGGAAGGCGGCCAGTCCCTTGCCGCGATGCGTGCGGATGCCCTTCCACAGGGGCTTCAGCACCGAATCGAACGACTCAATGCCGTAGGGCGTGGCAGCCTCTGCGAGAGCCGCAATGGCCAGAGCCGTGATGGTGCGCACCTTCTGCTGCTCATCCACCAGCCCGTGCTCGATGATCTCCACCAGAGCCTTCAGATGCGGCAGAATGGCGCAGCCCATGAGGATTGCAATCTGCTGGACAATCTTGATGCCCGTGTGACGGGCCTGCCAGGACTTTTTGGACTTGCAAACAGCCTTCAAGAAGGGCAGCAGCGAGGGAATACCCAGAGCCGAGGCCACCACCGCGAAGGCACGAGCTGTCGTATTCCGCACGTACTCGTCGATATTGTCAATGTCCGGACGCATCGTGGAGATCATGGTTGCCAGGCCGGCGGCCTTGGCCAGATTGGAGATGATCTCTCGGCCCTCAATACGGGCATAGTGATCCTCGTCGATCAGCAGGGGTTCAATCACGACCAGGATCTTGTGTACATAGGGACGCACCAAGTCGTCCAGCTTGTAGAGCACGCGATCAATCACTTTCACGAGCAAATGACGCTCCTGATCCTCCAGCGTGGGGGACATGAGCAGCGGCAAGATCTGATTGAAGAGCGGCCCCGCACCGAACTCCCGCGCCTTGTCCGTGATCTGACGCAGGGCGGACTTGCGCATGGGCGGCGATCCGTTTTTGATAGTCAGCAGCAGTTTCATGATCTTGCGCTCCTTCAACTCCTCGGGCGACAGTGAGTCCTCGTTGACGTCCACCAGCAGCTTGTCAAAATACTGTGCATCCTCTGGCTTCATGAAGGGCAGATTCTGCCCCTTTGGCTGGTTATCCATGAATTTGGCATTCTTGTCCTCCACCTGGATGAAGAAGCCCGCCGGCGTGCCAGCGATGGGCGTGGGTGTGGCCATCAGTTTTCGCCCGGGCGTTCGCACCGGCACATAACCCGCGGGTGGAGGCAGAATCTTGTAGCCGGGCGGGAACATCTGGTCGAGCTCCTCGTCGGTGTACGGCCTGTTCCGCTCGTCGATCTCCTTCTCCCAGCGGTACGCCTGCAGCTGCTCGGGCGTCATGGCCGCCAACGCACCAGGTGTGGGCGTGGCCATGGCCATGGCTTTGACTCCCACGGGAGTGCTGCCGCCAGGTGTGAGCATCGGTGTGGCATGGCCCGGAGTGGCATGCGGCGTCATGCTGGGCGTCATATTCGGTGTCATGGCGCTGGCATTCGTCGGTGTTATAGCGGGCGTGGCATTCGACGGGGTCTCGTCCCATCTGGAGCGACGCTTGGAGGCCCCCGGAGTGGACTCGATGGAGATGCTCTCACCGCCGGCCCCGCTGCCCGTGCGATCTGGCTTGGGGGTCTCGGCCCAGCCACTGTGACCCGGAGTCTCCCGCTCTGTCTTTGGCGTCTCGTCCCAGCGGTTGCGTCGCGCCGACTTCTCGTGCCCAGGGGTCTCATGTCCCGGTGTCATGGCATGAGCCGGAGTGGCATCCCAGATCCGTGTGCCCAGTCCCGGTGTGGCTCCGGGCGTCTCGCTGCCCTTATGGCCAGGTGTCTCATCCCATCGATGATCTCCGGGTGTTTTCTGCAGGAAACAGAGATTAGAAAGTGCTCTAAAGGGATTCAGGATGTATACTCACATCTTCCCAGGTCGGCGTGGCTGCACTGCTTGGTGTGGCCGCCACTTTGGCTGGTATGAAGCTTTCGCTGACCGTCTGATCCCAGCGGCCTCGCTTGCGGGAGCTGCTATCTTTGGAGGAGCTGTCGCCATTCGAAGATGACGCTGATGCGGATGAAGATTTCACCAGAGTTCCGTCCTTGGATTTCTCCATGATGCGGCGCCGCAACTCGGTCTCCTCGCCCTTGAGCATCTGCTCCCGCATGATGTCTGTGTATGTCCGGGAGCCCACATCGGGGGTCTTGCCGCCGTCGGCAAAGGGATCGGCGCGCTCTGGCGAGATGATAATGCGACGCCTCTTCTGCCTGTACTCGTCCTCGCGATCAGCAATGGTCGGACGCCGTCGGTCCGCCAACGGATCCACATCCTCCTTGCCCTGGGTGACATCCTTCAGCACCGAGATGGGGGCGGTGTATGTGGTGCGCTTCTGGGGCACTGGGAAGCCATCGTCCTCATCCTCATCGCCCTCGTCATTGGCCGCGATCGATGTGTTGTACCCCTCATAGCGGCCCTTGCCCTTAGCGGCCTCCTCATCGTACAAATCGGTGTCGAAGAAGCCGCCGCTGTCCAACAATCCCACTCCCTCTGCTGCCGCTGTGGTCTTGGCCAGCTCCGTCTTCTTCTCCTGGATAACAGAGATTTGCGCCTCGATGTCTGAAATGGGTCACAAACGTTGATGAAATAATTGATTTTCGTGCGGGGAGAGCAGGCCAACCAAACCGGGTGCACTTGTCTGGGTCGTTTTAGGGGCTCCGCACGCAGGATTTCAGTGTTCCGATCTGCTACGACCTGAAGGATAGCTAATTAGTTGGTTTATTTGGCTCACCTTCATGTGTTCGCGGAATATTTTCCATTTTTATCAACGAATTGTGAAGACGCGTACATGAAAATTCTTGTTAGAGATGGACTGATACATTTTTCCAATGCAGAGGGGCTGCACTTGCCGATGAATCGATAGTTTTAGTATTTTTTGCAGTATTTTTCCACGTTTTTACGTTTTTCCACACTAGGCCGCGGCACGTGTTGTATTGTTGTTATTCGTAATTTACGCGGAAAATGTTTGCCAAAAAACCAAAAATGGGCGTGGAAACGGACGCGGTAGTGGAGGCCACTCCACAGACGATACAGGCACGCCTGATATCCGACACAGGAGAGGAGGCAGGGCCGCCCATAGACCTGCCAGCGGGCATAACCACGCAACAATTGGGTCTCATCTGCAATGCGCTGCTGAAGAACGAGGAGGCTACACCCTATCTGTTCTTTGTGGGCGAGGATGAGATCAAGAAGAGCCTCGAGGACACACTTGACCTGGGCTCAGTGGACACAGAGAACGTGATCGACATTGTCTACCAGCCACAGGCCGTGTTCAAGGTTCGTCCAGTCACCAGATGCACCAGCTCCATGCCCGGACATGCCGAGGCGGTGGTCTCCCTCAACTTCAGTCCCAATGGGGCCCATCTGGCCAGCGGCAGTGGTGACACCACAGTCCGCCTGTGGGATCTGACTACAGAGACGCCGCATTTCACCTGCACGGGCCACAAGCAGTGGGTTCTGTGCGTGGCCTGGGCGCCGGATGGCAAGCGACTGGCCAGTGCCTGCAAGGCGGGCAAAGTCATCATCTGGGACCCGGAGACGGGCCAGCAGGTTGGACGCACGCTCACAGGCCACAAGAAGCACATCAATTGCCTAAGCTGGGAGCCATTCCATCAGAATCCCGAATGCCGGAAGCTCGCATCAGCCAGCAGCGACGGCGACTGTCGCATCTGGGATGTGAAACTGGGCTCCTGTCTGCTTAACATTGCAGGACACACGAATGCCGTGACTGCCGTCCGCTGGGGAGGGGCTGGCCTCATCTACACCTCGTCCAAGGATCGCACCATCAAGATGTGGCGCGCTGCCGACGGCATCTTGTGCCGCACATTCACCGGCCATGCCCATTGGGTGAACAACATTGCCCTGAGCACAGACTACGTGCTGCGCACGGGACCCTTCCACCCGGTCAAGGATCGCACCAAGTCCTACCTGAGCATGACCCGTAAGGATATCCTTTTTGATTGGTTTCTGCTTCAGTTTTTATGACATTTTTCATTTACAGCTGAAGAGCTCCAGGCCTCGGCCCTGCAACGCTACCAGGCTGTGTGTCCCGATGAAGTGGAGTCCCTGGTGTCCTGCTCGGATGACAACACCCTCTATCTGTGGCGCAACAACACAAACAAGTGCGTGGAGCGCATGACTGGCCACCAGAATGTGGTCAATGATGTAAAGTACTCGCCGGATGTGAAGCTGATTGCCTCCGCCTCCTTCGACAAGTCGGTGCGCCTGTGGCGTGCTTCAGATGGCCAGTATATGGCCACATTCCGCGGTCATGTGCAGGCCGTCTACACGATTGCCTGGTCAGCGGACTCCCGTCTGATTTGCTCCGGCAGCAGAGATTCCACACTGAAGGGTAGGCCATCCCTTGGAGTGGCTTTGGATTTGGAATTAACCTTTTATTTATTTTAGTTTGGAGCGTGCAATCGAAAAAGCTGGCGCAGGAGCTGCCTGGACATGCTGACGAGGTATTCGGCGTGGACTGGGCACCCGATGGCTCTCGCGTGGCATCTGGCGGCAAGGACAAGGTGATCAAACTGTAAGTCTGAGAATCAAACCAATTTGAGGATTATAAACATTAACAATTCTTTTTAATTGTATCTTGCAGATGGGCCTATTAGCCTCATCGTCTGTTATACACTTTAAGAAACTATTTGGGGAAAATAAAGCTAAGGTCCTGAGTAAAAGCTATGTAAACGCTCTCTAAATGCTTTGCTGCTGCAGCGTCTTCAGAGTCTGCTTGTAGCGATCCTCGAAGGCAACCGCATTGCTAAAGTACGTCGCTGGCACTGCCGACTCGGATTGAAGGGCTCGTTCGGCCGCCACAAAGCCAGCGGCGACGCACTCGTCCAGGATGCGTCCCTGCAGCAGGGCAGTAATGAAGCCGGCACAGAAGCTGTCCCCAGCTCCTGACACATTCACAATGTTGGGCACTATGGGTGCGGCATAGAAACGGGTGGTGTGTGGTGGCACCTCAGACGTCGTAGCATCGAGCAGGCAGCTCGCATCGTTGGCGGCGTCCGCACGAAAGCTGAGCAGCACGCCATGATCCCCCAAAGTGGCAATGATGCAGTTGAAACACGATTCAATCTTTTTCAGGAGGTCCTTGGTCTGCTGGAGCAGCTGGACACGCTCCACCTTGGTGTTGGGCTGCCAGTCGACCGTTTGTCCAGTGATTGCCTCCACAATGGTCTTCAGCTCCTGGAGATTGGGCTTGATCAGGCGAATGTGCTGCGTGAGGTCAGGTGGGAGGTGGAAGGGCTTGCCGGCAATGAACATGTCGGTGGGCTCAAAGAACACCGGCAACTGGTAGCGTTGCGCCTGCTGCAGGGTGCACTCCATTGCTTGCTCCGAAATGTTGCTGTCCATGATGACCAGCGGGGCGTCGCGGAAGAGATGCCGGTGCGCCCGAAGTGTTTCTGGCGTGATGGAGCACTGGTGGATCTCCATGTTGCCCAGAATCAGTTTGCAGTCGCCAAACTTGTCGAAGATCAGGGAGCAGAGGGAGGTGGCCTGGCTCTCGTCCTGGATCATGCTCCGCTGCAGGGCCTTGGGCATCAGTTGGAGCAGAGTCTCGCCCATCTGGTCCTTTCCCACGGCAGATATCAGATTCACATCGCCGTAGAGCTTGTATATGCCCTCGGCTATGTTGCGTCCGACGCCTCCAGCCGCCTGCTTGGCCACCGCTGAGTAGGTGGCTCCATCCAGTTGCATATCCCGCTTCTGATCGTCCACCGTGAAGGAGAGGTCCAGGATGGAGGCGCCCACAACGAGGGGTTTTTTTGGGCTTTCTCCATTGTCCTCACTCTGCCTCGTGGCTGGAGCCCCGGCCAAAGCTGCAGCAATCTGGGCCGCCACCTTGGCGTTGTTCTTGATCAGAGCGATGTTCGCCTGGAGACTGCTGCCCTGGGTGATGTTTGCTATGGCCGAAAGCAGGAAGGGCGTTACCTCCTTGCCTGTCACGCCCTGGGCCAAGGCCTGAACGCCAGCTGCCTTGATAGCAGCCTCCATCTTGGCCTTGTCAGCCGCAAATTCCTCGGGAATGGGCACTCCGATGAGCACCCCCGACTGGAGTTTGAGCTCCCGCCAGGAGCGGAGCAGATCAGCGGCCTCCTGCGGTGTGGACAGATTGTAGGCAGCCTTGCAGCCACTGTCGCGGGTGTAAAAGTCCGGAAAGACGCCGCCTGGACTGTCGAAGCTGGCCACACACACGCCTTGTGTCTCCAGGTACTCGAGGGTGCGCGGAATGTCCAGTATAGACTTGACACCGCTGCAGACCACGGCCACAGGAGTGCGCCCCAGTTCGGTCAAGTCCGCTGAGACATCCATAGAGACGTGACCCTCACGATGAACGCCGCCAATGCCGCCGGTGGCAAACACCTTGATGCCCACGCGATGAGCGACAATCATCGTGGCGGCTACAGTTGTGCCGCCGCTTTGTCCTCTAGCCACGACGTAGGGCAGGTCGCGGCGAGAGCACTTGATCACCTCATTCCGCGGCTTCTTGGCCAGTGACGTCAGCTCCTCCCCGGTCAGGCCCACCTTGATGCAGCCATCAATGATGCCGATCGTGGCGGGAATAGCGCCGTGTTGGCGCACCTGTTCCTCCACCTGCAGAGCCGTTGTAACATTCTCTGGCATCGGCATTCCATGTGTTATGATCGTCGACTCCAAAGCCACGACTGGCTGGTCATGTCGCAGGGCATACTTTATCTCTGGATGCAGCTCGATGTGCTGGTAGTGTTTAGTACGAATGAATTTGGCGGCAGCGGGCAGGAGATATCTTCGAAACAACATGTCAAAACAAAATAAATAAAATTCACCTGCCTACTGAAAACAATAAACCGGCACGTGGTGTGACCATGTGGTATACCGTTCTTGTTGCTTTCTGGTATTTTCTGCTCAAAAATACTTTTTCTAGAGTGGATTTTTCTTATTCGAACCTCCGGTCACACTAATTTGTGTTTGCGCGAAAATTTGCTTAGAAAAAGAAAAAATTGCTGGATTCTTTAATTGTTAAAGAACTTAAACTGGAATCTCATTAAAAATCTGTTAAAATGAATTTCTACCAGAGTGCTTACGATCTAAAGTTCTTTAACTTTACCGCTGAACAGATATCGTCAGAACGTAAGTGCCACTTTTTGATGCCAGTTGTGTTTGGTGTCTCAGGACTTTCCTTACCCTCCAAAACAGGCGAGCACTTGGTGCATAACCTCATTAGCAAGGCTATTGAAAACGCCATTCAGAAGATTGAAACGCCGGCCACCTCGGCACTGCTAGGCGCGCAGAAGGATGCAGTGATCAGTCGCGTGGAGGCCGCTACCAAAAAGAACATGCAATCCCTCCGATTGCTGGACAAGAAATACTTTCACATTCCGTCGCATGTGCTGCAGGTAGAGGACTTTCACCTGGAGCACCAACCCACCCCTCTTGAAGAGGAGAAAAAGAACAACGAGCTGGAGCATCTGAAGTTGCGCTTTCGCCAGGTGAGCGTCTGATCATTCCTACTATTCGAATGTCTTAGGCAATCCCATATGATTTCAGAACCTGATCACGCTGGCCAAGGTAGAGGCAGAGGGGAACCACTATGCTTCTGTGGCTAAAATCGCCCAGGAGGAAACGGATATTCACAAACAGGTATACAAAGATTGTAAATGCATAAAACTGTCCATGATGGCCGAAGTCGCCACTCTCGTTGCCACCATGTCTGACTGAAATGCCACTGAAATTTGATATAATTCCCTACTATTACACACCCGAAATTGTATGAGTTGTGAATACTAATAGATGAATACAAGAATCGTCATCATGAGCCTTTAATTTGTGTAGACTTCAATTTCCTCACCATTGCGCGCTGCATGCGACTGACAGATTGTGCCTACGTCAGTGAGAAAGAGAGTGTGCTTGCTCCAAGTGACAGAAGTTCGCCGTCTATTTTCGACCGGCACTCGGGGAGTGTCCCATCCCGAAGCATCCCATCTATCCCATCCCATCCCATGCACAGTTCAACAGCCGCTTTGGCAGCCTCACGCCGAGTATTTCCCGCATAAACTAAAACATCGGCCACAGGCCACAGTGTGTGTGGAGGAAATGGTGAAGCTATTTATACATTTTGGGGGTACATTTTTCTTGTTTTCCTCTTGCAAAAAACAAATATGCAAAAAAAAAGAAAAGAAAAGACCAGACTGCTGCGAATCTTGCGCAGATATTAATAAAAGCAGCGCTGCCGCTGCTACTGGCGCTGTTGCTGCTTCTGCTGCTGCGTTCGTTTCGGTTGGCTCTTCTGGCTGCCTGGCTGCTGCATTCGTGATTTTGCCCGTGGAGTTGCACATCGTCTCTGTATTTTTGGTCCTATCTGAGGTATGTTCTTCGCCATTTTATGTAATATATATATCCCAAAATGTGAAACCCGTTTGCCTCTCTCATCCAGCAGGAGTATACCTAAATCGCCATGAATGTGGAGAAACTGAAGCGCCTGCAGGCCCAGGTGCGCATAGGTGGAAAGGGCACGCCCCGGCGTAAGAAGAAGGTCATGCACCAGACAGCGGCCACCGATGACAAGAAGCTGCAGAGCTCGCTGAAGAAGCTCTCGGTGAGCACCATACCTGGCATCGAGGAGGTCAACATCATCAAGGACGACCTGACCGTGATTCACTTCAATAATCCCAAGGCCCAGGCTTCCCTCTCGGCCAACACTTTCGCTGTAACGGGCCATGGCGAGAACAGGAAGGTTGTGGAGATGCTGCCAGACATTCTCCCGCAACTTGGCCAGGAGACGGTCGTCCAATTGCGTATGTATGCCAATGCCATGTCGAATAATGCCAAGCCAGAGGCAGCTGCAGCTGCAGGAGAAAAACCCAGCACCGCTGAAGAGGATGATGATGTGCCCATGCTCGTTGAAGACTTTGACGAAGTGGCCAAGGTTGAAGCTACCAAGCAGGAGGAGCAGGCGAAGAAACCAGCACTAGAGAACAAACCAAAGGACAAAGAGGAGGCCAAGCAACAGCAGCAGCCCAAGAAAGAGGATCGCAAGAAGCAGGATCAGAAGCAACAGAAACCAGCGGAGGCTCCCAAAGCCAAAGAAAAACAAGACAACAAGAAGACACCAACGAAGGCCCAGCCACAGGATAAAGATGTAAAGAAGAAGGAGCCACCGGCTAACAAAGAGAAACCCAACAAGAACAAAGCGGAAGCTAAGCCTCAGACAGCAGCTGCTCCTTCGAAGGATACATCTCAGCCTGTAGAGGTCTCAGCTCCAAAACAGGAGCCCCCGAAGCCAATAGTGGAACAGAAAATTGATCAACCAAAGCCAACTGAACCAAAGATTGAGCAGCCCAAGCAGACGGAGCAAAAGGTGGAGCGAACGGAGCAAAAAGTTGAAGCCAAACCGGCCACCGCGCCACCACCAAAGCCGACTCCAACAGAGGCTCCTGCCAAGGCACAGACACCACCCGCTGTCCAAACTTTGGCCCAGATTGTAGCCGTCGAGCCGCCAAAGCAAGTGGACCCTGCAGTCGAAGCAGCCGCCGCCCCAAAGGTCGAGGAAAACAAAGAGCCGCAGAAGAGCGAGCTTGCTCCTGCTCCATTGCAGCTGGCAGTGGCAGTTCCTGTGCCAGTCAAAGTGGAACCGACTATAGCTCCGCCTGTTACAACTGCCGACATCGACAAGAAGCCAGAGGCTAAGCAGGCCAGTCCTCAGAAGAGTGCACCGGAGAAACCCAAGACCCCAGAAACTGCACCAAAGGGTACCCCCGAAAAGCAAAAGCAGGCCAGTCCACCAAAGAGTGCACCGGAGAAGCCCAAACAGGCCACACCGCCACAGGTGCAAAAGACGCCGCCGCCAGCGAAACAAGTGACCCCTCTCGCAGAAGCAAAGTCTGCATCGGATGTGGTCAAAGCAGCCGAGCCATCAGCAGCTGCACAACCAGCAGCCGCCATTGCACAGCCGATAGCAGCTCCAGAGAAGAAACTAGAGCAATCAAAGAATACTCCAAAGGCAGCCTCACCCAAGCAAAAGACACCGCCACCAGCCAAACAGGTGTCACCACCCGATGAGCAGAAGGTATCTGCTTTAAACAAACCAGATGTGGCATCTCCTGCACCACAAACTGCGGTGGCTGCCCCGCCGTCAGCTGCTCCTGCAGTAGCTCCTCCGTCACCAGAGGCGCCGTCGCCGATGGTTCCAGCTACTCCGCCATCGACCCCTTCGTCAGCTCCACCATCGGCATTAGCAGTTACTCCCCCTTCGCCGGCAACAGTCACGCCCCCATCGCCGGCTGCAGTTACTCCGCCACAGAAGCAGCAGGCAGCAGCAGCAGCACCAGCCAATGGGAAGAAGCAGGAAGCGGCCCCAAAGCCAAAACAGCAAGCAGCCAAGCCTGGCCAGCCACAGGTCCAAGGTCAGAAACAGGCAACAGGAAACAAACCACAACAGCAGCAGCAGCAGCAACAAAAACAGGCAGCTCCCAAGCCCACGGTAGCACCCAAACCAGCACAGACCCCCGGGAAGCCTGTGGCCCCGAAGACTGCCAGTCCGCCCAGCCAACAGCAGCAGCAGCAGGGCAAAGGTAACAAGGCGTCGCCTCCCAAGCAAACAGCTCAGCAACAGAAACCAACGAATGCCCCCTCCGCGAAGGCAACGCCCTCTCCAAAGGCAGCCGCATCACCGAAAACTGCCACCCCGAAGGCCGGAACCCCGCCCGCTCCGACTGCAGCTGCTCCCGCACCAGGAGGCTCCAATTAGTGCAACATTTTCACTTTTTTTTCAATCGGCTAACTTGCATTTTGAATTTACCGCACCGCGCATTTTTCGGACACGATTAGAACAGTTATCAGCTATCGATATTTCATTTATTTTTGTGCAATTACATTTTCAATAAAAACAATTGCAGCCTCCGCCCCACGCCTAGTTCGGCTTGGCATGACTGGTCGAGGGCTTCTCCTCCTCCGCCGCCTGCTTCTGCGGATTGAGCTTCCACATGGCGTAGTTCAGAGCCGTGGCGAACCCCAGCCAGGCCACATAGGGGACAAAGAGCAATCCGGCGACTTTGTTGACACGGTAGAAGAGAACACCGCAAGCGCTGGCAGTCGTCGTCAGAGCGATGATATCAATAAGCCCCTGAAGCATGAAATGGATTAGCGATAAAAGAGCTTCAAATGATAATTATGATGGCACTTACGCCCTTGATGTTGTGCTGGCCAAAGAAGATCGGCGTCCAGGCCCAGTTCAGGGCTAACTGGGTGCCATAGGCAATCAGGGGCAGACGTGCCTCTTCGCCTCCAAATCCGCCGCCGTCGCGCCACACCAGGTAGGAGCCGTAGCCCATGCCAGCGTACAGCGATGTCCACATAGGGGCAAACACCCAGTTGGGCGGCTTAAACGACGGAAACTTCAGGTTTGCATACCAATTGGTGAGATTCCTCCGGGTCAGCTGACCGTTGACAATGCCGCCCAGATTGGGCAGGATGACGGCTCCAGCGATTCTCAGAATCTTTCCAGCGCACGCTTCTTGATTATCGGCCATATCCAAAGAGTTTTCAAAATGCGAATGATACGCAGTAGCAGTACCAAAGGCGCTTGAAGTTGTTTGCCGGTGATTTCATGTAAACATACATATATATGAATATTGTACACTCCGCGATGCTTGAATAGGACACATTAAAAATATGCATACATACATATATACAGATTCGATTTTATTGGCTCTGATAGCGAGGAAAAATTCTGTAAAATCAATCGAAGTGTCCTAAATCTAAGAAAAATATGTGTTGTGGTAAGTAAAAGTAAAGAAATTGTGTCTAGACCGATTACATAAAAAACCAGTCAAACTGTGTTAAAAGCGGTCTTTTGAAGAGTAGAAATTCGTGTTAGGGATTTTATATTTAGTCGTATTCAAGTGTCGCGGAGTGTACGTGCGTATATACATGGAACTATTTAAAGCTGTCTGTATGGGTAAGTACACATTGCATTAGTGTGCTTTTGGCTGCGTAGTCTGAGTCAGCGAATAATAAATATTAGGTGGGGCCCGCTTATTCTCTCGCTCTTTTTTTGATGACGGAATGAATTGCAGGAGCTTTTTGTGACACTGAGGCAGCTTTGCTGTACTGCCTTACCTTACTTTAAATCTAACCTCGGCTGAGTTGTTGCATACGTTGAAGTGGGAGAGCAGATAAGGCCACTCTCTTTGCCATTACATCTGGAATGCAAGTGCAACAACCTGTCGCGCCAATTGAGTATCTGTCTTACCTTTTATTTAATATAACTTTGGCTGAGCAGTCATATGCCTCTAAGGGGGATTGAATTAGCAAACAAATTCCTACGTGATGAAATGCAACTACACAAGTACACTCTGTGCTTTCCAGGGTTGGCAAAAAACAGTTAGCAGCCATGGTAACCGTTGCCAGTGGCGCTTCTTTTCGTTTTGTTGTGGGTTTGTCTGCCGCATTTGAGAGGAAAATTCCGAGATGACGCTGTACTTTGACACTAAAATTGAGTTTTTGGACTCGGATGCAGTGAGTACCATCAGCAGCTGGCATCCCAATGAGCCCCTCTTCGCAGTGGCCTCCTTCAGCCCGGATCGGGGCGGTTCCGTCACCATATTTGCAGATACCGTAAGTTCTTTCACGCTTGCATTATTTATTATCTCATTTGAGACTTTTTTTCAGGGTGAACCGCAAAGAGATGTAACCTATCCAGTGCATGCCACCTCGCAGGCCACCGCCTTGTGCTGGCACCCGGAGAAGGCGCTGCTGGCCAGTGGATGGGAGCACGGAGACATACACGTTTGGTTTGCCGGTCATCGGGAATTTGCCAGCGTCAATGCACCCCACAAAGCGGCAATTGTGTTGCTGCAATTCAGCGAGCAGGGAGGCCGCATGGTCACGGCGGATGCAATGGGTCTGGTCACCGGCTGGCGCTGCGATGGACAGTATCAGTTTCTGACCATGTTCTCGCACGATCTGCGAGAGGTGCTGCTGTTGGTCTGCTTCCGACGCACCGTCGAGAGCGAGGTGCGTGAGGAGATGGCAAATCTGGCTAAGGCGGCGGTGGCTGGCGATGAGAACGCCTTGGACACGCTCACCAACTGGCGGCCACGAACCGCTGCCCGTGGCCTCACTCATTCCGGAGTTCGGGACAATCATTGCTTCTATGCATGCACACAAGGAGGCGTGGTCTACTACATCAACCAGGGCGGGGCCTGCATCGAGGTGATGAAGTGCGGCTCTCTGCCGCCCATAGTCCAGATGCTCTGGCATCCCAAAAAGTAAGAAAATGCTAAGAAACTTCATTTGTAAGCTCTTCTGTTTTCTGTTTTAGGGATGCAGTCATCTGCCTGATGGAGGACTTGACTGTGGTTCTCTTTTTGGTGGAGTCTACGGGAATTCTAACTGAACTGGATCGCGTAAAGATGAGCGGCCGTGGTGGGGGCAGGCAGGGTGGCATAGCGTGGTCGGGCAATAGCCTGGCCATCATCACAGGTGGATCATCAATATTTTCCCATTAAAATTCCCTCAAATAATATCATATTTCTTATGCAGGCGATCTTTTTGTGCGCATCTGGGACATTGAGCGGAGCGACAACTATCTCCTAAGAATGGATCTACCCAGCTCTAGCCATTTAAACTCCTCACTCTCCAGCCTGGCCAATGTCACGACGACCACCTCGTCGAACAATTTCTTCAGCCAGGACAGCACCGAAAGCAACAACATACTGCCTCGCAAACCGATCAAGTACGGCCAGCTGAGCAGTGGGGAGATCTTCACCTGCCTGGCGTACAGTGCCAGCTATCAAACCCTGTGCGCCGGCACCTCCCTGGGCAACCTTTACACCTGGAAGCGCAGTGGCACTCGCCTAGTCACCGCACCGGAGGATATCTGGCAGCTGACGAACATATCTTCGGTTCGGGGCGCCGTCAGAAGCTGCGAGTGGGGATTCAACGAGCTCTCGAAGCCCTGCATGCTGGTCAACTGTCTATCAAATGTGTTCATGCTGAAGGAGCAGCCGCTTCTGGCGTTCCATACCCGAGAGCTGTGGGCGGTGCAGCGATCGGCCAAGTCGGTGCAGCTGACGCACTGCAGCGGACGGCAGACGAGTGTCCAGTCTGAGTTTGCTGTGACGGCTCTGGCCCTGAACGAGCTCAGCCTCGTGATGAGCAACGGACGGAGTATCTCCTCGTACAGCCTCCAGAAAGTGGACATGGACATGGATGAGTTTGACGAGGTGCTGGAGGCAGTGCCTGTGGACGGTGGAGATCCTCCTGCATCCACGGCATCCCCTCCGTCACTGAGTGTGAAGCTGCTGCAGACCTTTCCCGCCGAGTGCCTGCTGCTGTGCCTCCAGAACCAGAATATCTTCTGCCTGTCTAGCAGCGACATTATGGTCTACTCCGTGGGCGGTGTGGTGCTGCACCGCATCCAGGCCAGTGACATTGAGGGAAAGATCATTGGCATGGACTTGAGTGGATGCTATCTCTCCGTCTTCACGATGAACGGGTATGTAAGGGCCTACGACGTTTCGCGGCACGATCCCAAGCTGCTTTTTCCCAGCAAGTCGGGGCACGACATCTTCGACGACTTTGGCGAGTTCATTCTGGTGAAGTGCAACAGCCAGGGCAGCCACCTGGCCATGGTCATAGCCAACAGCAGCTTCATGCCCCGCTCCGCGCTCTTCTGCTGGGACTTTGAGCGCAACAATCTCTTCGAGTTCGACCTGCAAGAAGAGACCAGTCTGCCAGTGAGGCTCTTCTGGGACACGGAGGAGCCGCGACTCCTGGCCATGGAGGTGAAATCGATGATGCAAAAGCCTCAGCCAACAGCCAAGAACTCAAACTCCCATCAGCCGCCCATGCACTTTGTCCAGTCGAAGATCATGCTGATGTTTTACTCGGATCAGAGTCAGGGATCAGGTCTCAATATGCTCGAGTCACAGCTGGTGACCGCTGGCTGCCAGCTGCTGAACCTCTGCGTGCCCAGCGTGGTCCGCTTGAAGATCAATATGGTGGAAGAGCAGCCGCTGCAGGACTTTGCAGATCTCCGTCAGTGCGATGCGGCAACCAGGAAACTAGTCCTCAACTTCAGCCTGCACGTGGCGGAGGGAAACATGGATCTGGCCTATCGCAGCATCCGCTCCATCCAGTCGAAGGTCATTTGGACGAATCTGGCCAAGATGTGCGTCCACACGAACCGCCTGGACGTGGCAAAGGTGTGCATGGGCCACCTGGAGCAGGCACGTTCCGTCCGCGCCTTGCGACAGGCCATGGAAGACGATGATCTCGAGACAGAGGCCAAAGTGGCCGTCCTGGCCATCGAACTGGGAATGATCGAGGAGGCCAAGGATCTGTACAAACGCTGCAAGCGATTCGATTTGCTCAACAAACTCCTGCAGGCCACAGGCCGCCTGGACGAGGCGCTCCAAATGGCCGAAAAGGAGGACAGGATTCACCTGAAGCACACTTACTACCAGAAGGCACAAGCGCTGCGCGAGAAAGGCGACATCAAGGGGGCCCTGGAGTACTTTGAAAAAACCCAGAACCCGTCGCAGAACATCACCCAACTGCTGATCGAGAATCCCGGGGCCATGAAGCGCTACATCCAGACCACCAGCGATCCCAAGCTACTGCGTTGGTGGGGTCAGTACATTGAGAGCTCCGGGGACATGGACGCGGCTTTGGCTGTCTATCACAAAGCAGAGGATTGGTTCTCCCAGGTGACATCGAATATATTCCGATTCCCAATGAACATATCAATGAAACCCTTAATTCTTTGTAGGTGAAGATACTCTGCTATTTGGGAAAGATCTCCAAGGCGGATGCGATTGCCAGGCAGTCGGGTGATCGGGCCGCTTGCTACCATCTGGCGCGGCACTACGAGAACGTGGGCAAGTTCCAGGAGGCCATCATGTTCTTCACGCGCGCCCAGACCTTCAGCAATGCCATTCGCATCTGCAAGGAGAACGACTTCCAAGAGGAGCTCTGGACGGTGGCCAGCTCCTCGCGGCAGCGGGACAAGGCCATTGCGGCCGCCTACTTTGAGGAGTGCGGAAATTTCAAGCACGCTGTGGAGCTCTACCATCGGGCGGGCATGCTTCACAAGGCCCTGGAGATGGCATTCGAGTCGCAGCAGCCGGAGATCCTCGAGATTATTGCCACAGAGCTCAGTCCGGACTCGGATGCGGAGCTAATCAACCGCTGTGCGGACTTCTTCTGCAGCATCGAGCAACACCAGAAGGCAGTACATCTGCTGGCCAAAACGAACCACCTGGAGCGGGCTGTTGGAATCTGCACAGAGAAGGGTGTGCCCGTGACGGAGGAGCTGGCTGAGATGCTGACCCCCGACAAGGGGGACTTTGAGGAGGCCACGCGCACCTCTATCCTCGTACAGCTTGGAGAGCTGCTGCAGCAGCAGGGCGACTACCACAGCGCCACCAAGAAGTTCACCCAGGCGGGGGATAAGATGCGGGCCATGAAGAGCCTCCTCAAGTCGGGAAACACCGACAAGATCGTGTTCTTCGCGAACATGTCCCGCCAGCGAGAGGTGTAT